AGGATGGTTAATGAAGTTAGTTAGGGATTAGCATAAATAGAGGAAGATGAGGGGGTAAGGAGTGTCTAATGAATGAATAATATATTTCTATGTTTTGAATGCATGTATAACTACAAAAACACTTTCCTCATTGTCTATCTAACAGTGATAACATGGAATATACTTGCGATAAAGTGAGAACCTTCAGCAGTTAGACAGATTTATGGAACATCTAATTGAAAGATCACAGGTAACAGATTGCTAGCTGACCCATCAGCCCTTTAGAATTAACAATAAGAAAATTTTTAAAGAAAAGAAAAGGAAGCATTGGTTTTTGTATGCATAATTATTACCCCTAAATCCTTATTTTACTTACTTGATATCTACTTGAAAATAACATAATAACAACAAATACTCCTAACAACACCTCACAATTAAAGGAAATGATAATAGCCAAAATATTCAATGAATAAATAGAATTGATCTACAGCATCACAAATAACTCAGTGGTTAAACTCCATAACATATCAAATGGAGCAAATCTTAAGCTTGCTAATAATAAAAATGAGCTTCATTATATAGTTACGGTAATGATACTATAGTTCATAATGATAAGTAATTATGGCTTTATGTGTCACTTCTATGGTGTTTAAAGAAAGACAATTCTGAGGTCATCTAGAAGTTTCCCATTTTTTTATAAGACTAGACTATGGCAACAATAGTTGTCATGTTTTTGACGCCATGATCTCTTCTTACCAAAAGCATGATCCTTATGTTTGATGTAATTATTTAATGGTGTATAATTTGTTCAAAACTGACATGAACCTAAAAGCGACAATTCATTAGAAAAAGGAGGAATAAAAATTAAAAAAATTATGAAAAATAAGTCAAAAATTTTCAAAGTTATTAGGATAATAGGATTAATATGTCAATCAACATTAAAAAATCATATAGATATTAGTAAGCTGATATTACAAAGATATATGCGTACCTTTCTACCCTCAAATCTTTCTTCTAATTCTTTGATATGATCCTTCACTCGAGTAAGCTCAAGTGCATGCCTAACTCCATCAGAGTCTATCCCAATTGAAAACTTGAATTAAAATGCACAAGAAATACCTAAGCAAGTTGTCAAAATCATCATGTTAAAAGACCTAAGTTAACGATGAACAATTAAATAGCTTTCCTTTTTTTTCCCACTGTTTTAGCTTTGTGGAAAATTCCAATAAGAAATGTTAAATGCTATACATAAAAAAATGTAAGGCTGATTTTATTAAATAAAAATTTACAGGCACATACTACAGCAGCTTGAGTCAATCTCCCCTAATCCTCAACCCCTTTAAGAAAATAAAGTATTGAGAATGGTTAAGTTTCAAACCATGATAATACTCGAGTAAGACCTTTTCATCTGCATAGTCCAACAATTCACAAAATCTCCACACTAACCCTTAGCTGTATATATTTATGAAGTTACATAGATAAGTATAACTAAGGTTATATGGTTTAAGATGAAAATAACATTAACACTACACTCATATCACAACATGATTGTAGTTCAACCCACATTCTTTTACTTGACTTGTGGCTTCATCAATTTCAATTATTCTCAACTTCACATCCAAATTCATCCAACTGCTATGTGTATTATGTGAGTTGGCTATCTGTATTCATCCAAATTCATTCACCAAAAAAATTTAAATTGTTAAAGAAATCCAGCATTTAATACTTTAATTTCTCCACTCCATTAGTAATTAGATCATATGAGAATCACTTTGGTTATTGGCACAAAAAAATAAAAACCATTTTAAACAAAAGTATTTGCCTTTCCTCAGCCTCTTGTTTACTCGATTGACTTGGATTCACTCTAAATATTAATATGTGACCAATCTAGTTAAAAAAACCATGTAACCCAAGGTTATACCATTCCATGGATCAATCATAAGTTTAAGGTGAAAAATGTGAGTAGATTATGACTAATTCTATGCATTAGTTATAATCTTTGTTGTTGTCTTTGAACCACTCAACGAACATGCAATTAGGATGAAATAACTACAATTATTGTCTTTAAAAATGTTTGTTCCATCATCAATCAAAAACTGACATGACATTAAGGGTCTCACTTATGTCATAAAACACAACAATTCTCAAAATTATGAAAAAAGAACTCAAATATAATGGCAAATATAAACAAAAAGAAACTGATAGAATCTAATTTCTAGAGGTGAATTAGAAGTTATATTGAAGAAAGTAATGCTAGAATATGAAAACATTTGTAGCTCCAATAGAATAAGAGAAAATAATCTACTAGTAAGGGATGTGCAAGAATCTCACTCTTCCAGATCTAATAGCCAAGGAGAACCTCCAAAACACAATAAACATCAGAATGCTTGTCTACGACCTCCATAGATACTGCCTATTCATAATGGAGAAATAAACAATTAAGTAAATGAAAAAAATAAACTTCTAGGACTCCTAAAAAGTAGGGAAATGGTGTGAGCAAACTTAGTGCATGGGTAAAACTCATAAAACTTCTTTACCACCAACCCCTGCTTGCTTACTATCTACTTTCTCCATATTCAGTCACATGGTGCTACATCAAAGACTTTACACGAACCAGGAAATAGATGGGGGAAAGCTTACCCGAATTTGAATTGAGCACCGCAATAAGATGATTGCATGACAAAGATTCATGGCCATACTGGGAATGAAGACTAGAGAGGACAAAAGTATGGTTGAAAGAGCAAGACCCCAAGACAAGAAGGTCATAGTGACAACGGTAGGGACGACAAAGATGAGGATGAATTAGGGGTGGCTAAGGCGGTCCGTTCTGCAAACCTAAAAAATTCTCAGATTAGAATTAGAATTAGAATGAATGGTCAAGACTTCAACATAACTTCAAGAAACCACCATCAGAACTTCCAATAATAACAATCAACCATGACAATACCGTGGACAATCACGGCCACCGACTGAAATCTCCGACATTGAAAGCTAACTTCAACTAAAGGTGAAAAAAAAAACCAAACAAACACCACCCAGCAGAGCAACAGGAGTGACCAAAAAACCCTTTTGAACCCAGCAAGCAAAAAAAAACCAGCAAACTCACCCTTAAATGGCACGCACTGCCAACCCCACCCACGAAGAGTTCAAATACGATGAGATCCCGCCAATTTACCCTATCACCGACCCCAGTTGCTTCAAAAAACTCCTCATGTGGTAACAAAATGTAATGAAATAGGCAAAAGGGCAGCTCATGTGGGGTCATACTGTTCATGCATTGTGCACCAGAAGATCCTAAATTTATATTGAGTATAAGAGTATAGATAGATTGGTGAAATGAAATCCCACCAATTGACCTACTGACCTTCCCATTTAATCAATCCCACCGATCGTCCGCCCCTTTCTCTATCTTTTTCTGTGTTATAGTAGTTAGATTAAGAATAAAATATATAATATTGGTTGTGATGGAGAAAAAACAAACAACAAGGATCACCAAATATTATAAGAATATTAATACTATAATATTTGAATCTCTATCTCTAATATCATAATATTATATTATTATTATTATAATAGTATAATATTATTATAATTATAATAGTACAATAGATGGAGGCTAGAATACGCGGCTTGAAACACGTAATTAATGAAGACAATAGATGGAGTTCTGACAAAAAAAAAAGAACACAATGGAGCACTATTCATTTACTGTAGATATGGCCATCCCGCATTAATAAAGGTAATAGATATATTAGTAAAGATAAATTAAAACTCAATTCATATTTATACAAGATATCACAAATTTGAGGGGGCAATGGTCCCCCTCAAGTGTGTGTTCATTCATTATTGAGACAGTATAATTGATCTTTGATACAAATATTCTTAGCCCTTTTTACAATTAAAATTGGTCACATTCAACACATAATTTGACCATGTTTAGCCCAGAATAGAACAACATAGAGAATGTAAATGGCATGGGCTATCTTGATGGGCTTAGGTCTATTAAAAAATTGAAGATTTTGAGCTCTAACTTATACTTTGTACGTTAAACTTTGATAAGTAGTGAGTGAGAGAATCTCTAATATTGAAATAAAGAATTGATTTATAATTAAATTTAGAGTACTCAATGATCTGTCGAGTTAAGTTGATCAATAAAGATGATCCCTAATCCATACATTCAAATTGCAACACACACATAGAGGAGAATGGGGAATTGCTCATGTGTGATAGGGAGATATCTTATAATTATGACTTTATAGAGGCTAATAATTATGTTAAGCTCACCAGACATACTCATAAATAGAAATTGATACGAGGTTTATCATAAAATCACTGTGAAATTGTAAAAATATAATGTAGCATGTTTTCTATAATGGTGTTATAGACCCAATTATTTAACTATTTGGTTTTTAAGTAAACCATCAAGTATTTGAAAGATGATGGTTCTAACTAATTCAAATAAAGCCATTTTGAGATATTTTCAAGCAGCAACTATACTGTTAAATATTACTGTATTGTTAGGACTTGAATTCAAAATTTTTAATTAAACTAAGTAGAACTCTCTTGTTACTTTTGAACAAGTGTTCATTAGTTTGGACTCTAACTTCCACCCCATGGTTCACTGTTTGATTATGCTTGGAAAAGAACCACACCAAAAAAATATATTTAAATAATAATTTTGGGTACAAAAATTGATGAGAAAAAAGATACTCTTTTTATTAAAAAAAGTAAAGCATTTTTTGAGAAATTAAATGTTAAAAAATGTAAGACATTTTTAGTCTTTTAAGGTATAATTATTATTTTTTTTAAAAAAATATACTTATTAATAATGACTTTATATTTATTATAATATATTTAATAGGGGTGAATATGAAAAAAAATAGAATTAATTTAAAAGTAAATAATTATTTTTTTAAAAATAAAGTTAATTAAAAATATTTTATTTTTTCAAATAGAAGGAGTATCAGATAGGGGTATAAATATAAATCCATTGGTGGAACACCGGAAGTGGGCCTCGGACGAGACCATCCTGTCGCTGATCATCGTACTTGCCACCTGCCTCACTCCTCTCCTCTTCGCAACATCACAAGGTTTGAATCCTAACGCCCTTCTTCCCCTCCCCCCACTCTCTGTTATCTCAAATTTCTTAACCGATTTTAAATTAGTTCCATAAGGGCCTTTGCATTTTCCCTCTCGCATTAGCGTTCTCGTCCTCAACAATACAATCTGTATCTGATTTTTCTTCTTCTCTTATGTGATCGCTTCGTTTCGCGCTGCTTCACGGAAAGCGTAGGAGAAACGCGGTCATGGGTAGGCCACCCAGTAACGGAAGCCCTGCCTTCCGCTTTACTCAGGCTGAGGTATTCGTCTATTTAAGTTTCTATTGAAATTTATTATCTGCAAACCGGTCGCATGAGTCCTGCGAACTTGCTTTCGAGCTTGATTTAGCAATTTCTTTGTTGAAAATTCTGTATGGGATAGTTCAATGCATTGTTTTTTCCGCTCTATTTCTTGGCAGTTTCTTTAGTCTGTGTAATGAATGCGTTTTTAGAGGGTGATTTTCTAATTTTATTAAGTCGGCCCCTGGCCTCTGGGTAATATCTGTTTGATTTTGGGGCTCACAATTCTTTCATTTTTCTTCTTTTTCATTCAATTAAGACCCGACAGATTTTACTTTTCTTGTTGTTTTTGTGCTTCGCTGGACATGAAACGCTCTATTTCTCGCATCAAATCTTGAATGGTGCTGCTTATCGTTTATTTTCAATTCATTCCTTTGCTCACGAGGTCGGCTTTAGCTTGTTCAAATTGCGCCTTATACTGTGTCTTACATGGTTCTATGGAATGCCTAGCATGCGTTCTGTGGATTTGTTAATAAATGATATATTTATCCGTGTTGGTGTAGCACCAACACTGGGTGCTGCCAAGGTTTCAACTATTTAAGGTTCCTCACTTACGATGTTATCTATAGCTTTGGACCTCCTGAACACCCTATCATGAACTCAGTGGAGTTTCCAGCTGAAGCAATTCTAGTTAAGCATTTTTATTATTCATTTTTGTTTATCTTCCTCAGAATACATGAAACAATTATTTTTATCGTATTGGATAAGCTAGGTGCATGGTCAAAATTTCTTGACACTGACCCACGCCCTGAGATATGCAAGAGCCACCCTTCACTGTGCATTCTGGGTTGAGTCTGTTTAGTGGCAACATTACGCCCTTTGAATTGTCAGCGTGTCTAGTCATTTGACTGCAAAACATAGTTATTTGAACCTTGAATGACTTGTTATTCTCTTCTTCTCTGGGCGGATGATTTCCCACTAGGCATGCCTGGTACCAATGGGTCAATGCCATCATCTATTGTCAAATTTATTTATTTACAGCTTAGAGTATTTGTACTGTGGATCTCAATCCTTACAATGTTGTCCTTCTCTTAACCAATTTAATATTTAGGTAAACTCTCTTCTAAAACAGAAATGGAAACCCACACTACCACTGGAGAACTGCCATATGATTGCCTTTTCTTTCTTCCCTCTAAGGAATGTCACGCCCCAGCCTCTAATTGGGTCAATACAGAGGACTAGTAGTAAGGAAAATGATTAGGACTTCCTTAGTTGCTTAAAGCTAGAGTCTCCTGAGTTTTGGAGAAAAACAGACACAAACCTTCATTTCTCAGCGGTCAGGTTTTAGTTCACTTTGTTGAATGATATGTGATGGAATGCAAAGGATTACTATAGTATTAAGCATTAAGCATTAGTCAATGGGATAGAACAGAAAGGGTACCAATAAGTGACGATCATTCTTTTGTTTGGATTGCTTGCCACTTGAGAAATAAATAGTTGATAATGATAATGTATGTTTGGCAGCACTATGCAATAGGAAGAAAAGAAGTTATTTATAGAATCTTACTATTTGTTTTTTTCCCCCTTTTAACTTGAGTCCTTATATTGTTAGTGGACGAATTTACAAGTTTAATGGTAAAATTTGCTATTCCCTGCCTTTTCACGTGCTTTTGGAGTGAACTATAAAAGTGAGGAACATGCCTAAAGGAGAATCTCATCCCCTTGGCTTTCGTACTTAATTAGTTATATTACATCCAAACAAGGGATTGGGTGGTTCCTTCTGTTATTCTCTATACTATTCTCTCCCTTCCATTAGGAGACCACACTGTCAGGCTTCTACGTTTGCTATATCTCTCTTGGTTTACTTTTGCTCTCTTATATATTCTCCAATATCCTGACTTTAAATGGTCTACTATATTATATTGTCCTCTGTTAATCACTTTTGAGCAATTGACATAGATACAGAAAAATTAAAAGCTTGGTTAGAATATAACTCCAAATTTATTTGAGTGCATTTCTTTTCTTTTTCCCCCTTAAATTAATATCCTATCCTATGCACGTTGTTTCCCATGACAGGGACCTTATTACTTCAGTCATGTTTTTGGCCCAGTGGCTATCACAAATAGGGTGGCTGCATGACATAAATAACAGGAAAATTGATCTTTAAGGGAAAGTGTGTGGATACCTTTAGATGATTACATGCACTATCATGCCAAACATTGAGCTTTCAGGTTGCTATTGCAGACCTACTAGGGTTGTCCACTAGGTGCATATGTAATTATGCTTACTTCTGAACATTTTTCAAGACCGTTAATACATATACATCTGTAAATGGTAAGTAGGTGATTTTTTTTTTTTTTTTATGGTTCTGTGTTTCAATTATGGTTATGATTTCAATAATATTCTGTGTATTTTTCTTTATGATGCCATATAAAGATACACTCAAATTTATGATGGAATTAAGATGTTTGAATTCCAGTGGTATATTTTCTATAAACAATATCTGTATAGGTTGCAGAAATGGAGGCAATTTTGCAAGAGCATAATAATGCTATGCCAGCACGTGATGTTCTTACTGCTCTTGCAGAGAAGTTCAGGTGTGCTACATATATATGATTACTCGATTACTGCAAGGCATTTAAGTATTGTTTGTTCATCTCATGAAAGTGAACAGTGGATTGATCTTATTATTTCCTTTTATTTTGGCTGTAGTGAATCTCCTGAACGTAAAGGGAAGATTACTGTGCAGATGAAGCAAGTATGACAACTATATTTTGTTGGGGAAAAAAAGGATGTCTTCTGCCTTTGTTTTCTTATATGTCTACTTCATTATAGGTTTGGAACTGGTTTCAAAATAAACGGTACGCTATAAGGGCGAAATCTAGTAAGGCTCCTGGAAAGTTAAGTATTACTCCGATGGCTCGAGATGATTCAACTCCAGTTAGAAATATGCCTCAACCAATGGCTACTCCTATGCCTCCTGCTTCAGGTAATAAATTGTTGCACGTTAGTGCTTTGATATTTTTCATTCTTTCTTTCTTTCTTTTTTTAAATTTTTGTCATATGTTTTGGTAGTCCTACATGCTTTATATTGTTGTATTCATTTTGGTAGAATCTTGTATCTCTGAATTATTTTACCGACTAAACTTGAAAAGAAGCCTCAAGAAGATGGCATGTATGATACAGTGACATCTTCTTGAGGCTTCTTTTCAAGTTTAAACTTTGTAGTTTGCATGGTGAGGGGCAAAAGGTGGAGAATTATTGTTTGCGGAAGGGTCTCTGCTCCCTCCTGTTACAAGCCCTATCTACCAAAGTTCCTCGAACCTTTTTATTATATGTTATTTTCTAGTTTATATATCATATTAATTTCAATATAATAATTTTTTTTCATGTTGTGCTTATGTAATGTGGGTCCAGTGACAATTCCTATTTCTATTAACAAAAAGAGAAGAGAACAGGGTTAAGGTTTCAATTAGAATTCCCCCCCCCCAAAAAAAAGTACGTTGACAATTCTTAGTGTATAGATTTTGCACGCTCTTCTGGGATCTGCTATTACATGTTATAATGGGCTCAGTAGCTTGCCAAGTCTGACTGACTTCACCTGCATTTATCTCAGTGCCTCTCCATAGCTGCTATAGCATCGCCATTTATGACAGTTTATGCTTCTAACCCAAACTTTTCATTTGGTTTTTTTGATTATTTTTTTAAATAGCAGCAATTAGAATTTAGAATATACCTTGAACTGCTTTTTCCTATTCAAATCTTAATCATTGTCAAATCAAATGGTTGTGATGTTGAGGCAACTGTTGGCTGACTTTCTTGATTTTGTTGACCCAAAGCCACTCCAGTAGATTCAGTTCTTTTGAACATGCACTTTCTGAGATATCTCGATGTTCTTAAGCTGTTTCCCTTGTTTCTGATGTGTGGATTATGATAGCGTTGGAATTAAATGCAGGACTTTATGTAACTGACTGATGTTTAATGATGACGTGATGTTGATTTTTGAGTACTGTTGCAAATGATAATCTTCAGCCTTGTAGATTATACATGTAGGACAGGAATGTGTGTCGTATCTGAGGCAGTGCATTTGAATTTAAATTTATTAACATATTCAGAACCTATTCTTATAGTCCCTCTCGCCCTGCCCCCCCAATTTTTTTTTTCTCATTCTTCATCATCATCATCATGGTATAACCATAACAGGATACAGCCTAACTGAAAAGTGAGACGACTTACGCATTCCTGTGAAGGTTCTGGCTGAAATAGCAATTTCTTCCTGGTTGTTTGGAGTCTTGAGTTGTCATCAAGGAACCTGGATCATGAAATATTGTCTCACTCTATATCATGGCCTTGATATGTTTTAGAGCCTTTTGTCTCGAGTGTTTGTGCTCTCATGTTTTAATTTGTCATATTATGTATTTACATATATTGCTTTCGTTTTGTTGCAGTTTCAACAGGAAAAGGTGCTCCAGAAAACTCAGCAATGGAGTTTGAAGCTAAGTCTGGAAGGGATGGAGCATGGTTAATATTTCTCACCATTCATGTCTACAATATTTTTTGTTGTCTAGCCCCACAACCCAACCCAAAAAAAAAAGGAAAAAAAAATTAAATATCTTAGATATGCAAACCTGACTTTTGTTCTTTTGTTTATAAGGTACGATGTTGCCAACTTTCTATCTCACAGGCATTTGGAAACCAGTGATCCGGTAATTTCAGGATGAACTGCCTTATTTTATTTAAAAGCATTAGTAGGGCCTTTTCATACTTGCCATCTAGGTTTTGTTCCTTTTTCTTTCATAATACTATCTTGCTGATTTTGTGACTTTTCAATTGATCCATTTTTGCATGCATGTTCATATCAGTTGTGGGGCTGCTCACATGAAGTTTGTGTTTATATAATATATATATATATATATAGGCACTGAAACCCCTATTGAGTGTTGGTCTTGCTGCTATCAACAATTGAAGTCAAATAATCATTGTTTTTTTCGGGTGAACCACTGCTATACAGTGCCAGCTGTTTGATTTTTTATCCAACTTTTTTGCTGGTCAGATGACTGGAATGTACTTCTTAGTGGCAGCTTTTTACCCCAACATTCTTACTATAGTAGGTCATATTGGTTTTTATATACAAGGATAAGACTCTAGTAGGTCATAGTGGTTTTTATATACAACAATAAAATTGATTGATTCTCAGTTTCTAGGCCACTAATATAATTTTGGTATAAATATCTTTAATTTTTGGGAAAACATAATCTTTGATCCCTATAGTTTTATTGGGTTTTGCTTTTAATCGTTGTAATTTTTTTTTTAGCGTTTTCAATCTCTATAAGGACTAAAACCATTGAAAAAATGAAAATTATAGGGACCTGAAAAACATAGTCACCCAATCTTTTTGAAACTATGGGGACTGAAAACACTAAAAAAAAAACTATAGGAATTAAAAACAAAACATGATAAAACTATAAGGACCAAGGATTGTGTTTTCCCTTAATTTTTTGTCCTCAAATTTTTGAAAAATAGAAAGGATTTGTCTTGCTCTTCATCTTATATTGTTTTGGGTTCTACCTATGTGATCCACACTAACATTTTTCTTGTTCCAGGAAGTTCTGGTCCGATTTGCTGGTTTTGGACCTGAGGAAGATGAATGGGTTAATGTCCGAAAAAACATCCGGCCTCGCTCTCTGCCATGTGAATCATCAGAATGTGTAGCAGTGCTCCCTGGGGATCTCATACTGTGTTTTCAGGTGGGAATATCAGTAGCCAGATGCCAAGTAAAAAACATTGATACGATTTTAATCATTTACAATTCTTTGCATTTCATAGTTTCTTCTCAAGAAACATTTCTTTTTTTCATTCCCCCCTCTAAAGTTCTGGTTTTGTAACATTTAGGAAGGTAAGGAGCAGGCTCTTTACTTTGATGCTCATGTCCTGGATGCTCAAAGGCGGAGGCATGATGTTAGAGGCTGTCGTTGTAGATTTCTGGTTCGTTACGATCATGATCAATCAGAGGTATCCAGTTTCATTATGTACTATTATAGCCTTTATCTTTTCATGGGCCCTTTTTTTAAGGTGAAAAAATAAGTAATTTTGAGGTAGTTTAGAAATTTTATAAAAAGATTTATTTTGTAGAGATTTTACAAAAAACAAAAACAAATATTTTTTTATGTCTAGTTATAATGATAAAAAAGCGATTATTAGTTAGTTGTTTTTAAAATTTATGATATCTTTCTTGAGTTTTGTTTTGTACATATGATTTATTATGATATTTTTTTTTAAATTTTATAATATCTCCGTGTATCCCACTTCTTTAAAACACTCCTTCTCATCTATCGCGTTAGATTATTTTCAGAGGTTACTCAAAATAGCTTCTTAAAATAATCATAAAAATGTGTTTTTTTTTTTTTCAAATTCTGATTATTTTCAAAAGTTTAAAAAAAATCAAAAAAACAAACAAAATAGATTTTTTTTTCAAAAAAATTAAGTTTTTTTTTTCATAAAATAAGTTAAAACAAACGGGCCCATGATGAGATTCGGTCACTTTATCTTGCGTCCTTGAGCTATAGACAATAATATGTAGCCAAGTGCCTTATCTATTATGTAGTTGGTATTACCTACTGTAATTTTATATTGGGAACCCTCTCTTCTAAATTTTAGTTTTAACCACTACAAACGAGTCATTTTCACTCTAGTTTCACTGGTCTTTATATGCCAGACTGTAATCGATGTATCTAGATGATTCCCTACTTTTCTTTTGTCCGATTATGTGGCCTTATGAAAGCCCTGTTTTCTGAATTGATGTCAAGTTTGGATGCCCGTATTTGTCTGGAGATTATCATGGAATGCAGAATGGTTGTAAATCAGTGAATCACAGTGAAGCATTGGCTGTGCATGTCTAGGAAAACTATATTGACTAGTCTGCTTGGCCAAAAATTTATTTATTTTATAACCAGCTGTGTGCATAATTGCCAAGTGGTAGGGTGTTCTCAAGTGGGCTTATTCCTAGTCCGTAGCTTTCTGTCCGACTATATTTTCAAGTGGAAAAATGATAATTGTTGTTCAGTGTTATATTCTGTCGTGTTGTTTTTTTTTTTTTTCAATTGTGCAAAGATGCTACTGATATATGACCTACTACCTACATCTCCACTTGTCAATGTTTTACAAGCTCCCATATTTGATATATTTTTGTTGACTCATCTGAGTTGTGTGCTTAGCAGGAAATTGTTCCACTTAGGAAGGTTTGTCGTAGGCCTGAGACCGATTACAGGTTACAACAACTTCATGCTATGAATGAGGCAACACCGGCGGACCAGCAAAAGACCGGCATGGACTTTACGCCTGTTCATGCTGTCAGGGTTACAAGCTCAGCTGAAACAGTGCAAAAACAGCCGAGTGCAAACATCGCCATGGCCCCACAAGTTTTGCAAGCTACTGTTACTTTAGCCCCACAACCTATGAATGTAGATCAGAGAAAAGCTGAAGTTTCCAATGATATGACTGGAGGAAACACCGTCATACGCCCTGGCGGTGCTGCATTTACCACCAGTGTCGTTACTAGTGGTGTTCCCCCAAGTGGAACCACATTTACCAGCAATGTTGTTGCTAGCAGTGTGCCCCCTGGTGTTACTGCATTTCCCAGCAATGTCGTTTCAAGCAGTGCTCCGGTGGTTTCGAGTCAGAATCTGGCTGAAGGAAAATGATTAGAGGCATGTTTTCTTGTCTCGTTCTCCCTTTTGAGGTCAACTTTTCATGCGCTCGTTTTTGTTCAAACAGTTAACTTGCTGGTGAATATCATCTTTCTGCGCATGATGCTTGTACATGAGTTTTCTCTTGCTGCTTTATGTGAACCCTGGAAACTGAAATGAAGAGAAAAATCTTACATTTTGGCCATCACCTCCTGAATCCTTCGAAGACATCGTAGTAGTTAATTTTTGTTTCTGCTTTCTATAGCAATCAAATTTGCTTGTGATTCCTTTACACGACGAAGTTAGAGTTGGAATGGCTTCAATTGGCAACAATGTTGAGTCATGTATAGCAATTTATTTATTTAAAAAAAGGACATTATTTTGCCATCTCTGTGATTGACAAAACCATCGATATCTAACCTGATCTAATAAGCTTAAGGAAGAATCAATCTAGAGTGTATGCATATCTAGTTAGTTAAACAATGATGTTCCTTGTCCAATGTATAGGAATTTTTTTTTTTGTAAAAAAAAGTGGTTGCTATCATTAAAATGATAAAATATTATCATGCTTTTTAAGATAATGATCCAATTAAAATCAATATATTTTAATTATCCTTAATTTTTTTTCTTGTATAATCGATTAATCTCTCTACAATATAATTGATAAGGGAATTTGTGAAAAAGGAAAATTTATTGGCAAGCTATTGAATTTTTAAGAAGGATCATACATTTTGAACCAATATTAATTGATAAAAAAGTGTTTTATATTTTAAATTAGATGGGAGTAAATGGAACTTTATGATGTCAAATCTCAAAAGAACCTTATAAAAATAATTACAGATTGTTTCTAACAGAATTTTCATATCAAAAATAGAATTCAAACTCACATTCCTATGAAGCATGAGGTATTAAGTTGCCTCTTGTTAACTGAAAGCTTTCTTGACAAGCCCATGTGAACTATCCTACATCTTATCCATGTATTTTCATCCTAAGTCAATGTCAAGCTATAATGATTGTTGAACGCATAAAAAAATTATTTTAATTACTTTCAAGTGAAATTTAGCACCCTTTTTTTTTTTTCAAATTTTGGAAAATCAGAGCCTATTTAGCAATCTGTTATGAAAATAATTTTCTATTCTTCAAAAGAAAAATCAGTTTGATAACATGTTTTCAAAAATATTTTGAAGAATAAAAGACAAAATGTTGTTTTGGAGAATAAAAAAATAAAAAAAAATATAAATAAAAAAACTATTTTAAGTGTTATGAAATTATTGTTCTAAAAAATAAGGAAAATAAAAAATACTCATTTTTATTATTTTTTTAAAACAATAAAACAAAAATAGTTTTAAATAGGCTTTCATTTTTTTTAACCCCAGGGGGCGGGAGTTTCTTAGCCTGTGCTAACCTATTCTTATTCTATACATTTTTCTTCTTTGTTATAATAAAAGTATATAAAAGGACCATGCAATTTAGAAGAGAAGGAAAAAGAAGAAAAAAAAACCTTATGTGTTTTTCTTATTCAAATTATTGGGAATGGGCAGCAACAATTTTAAAATTTTGATTTATGATATGATGTTTTTCTACTACTCTTATGCATTTCTCTTTTTCGCTCATTTAATGGTAGTCGCTCCTCATTCATAATACAAATTCATAACCAACCTCTTACAATGTAAACTAAACGTCTAGATTATGAGAATCTTACCCCAACCAATTTGCACATATTTATCCTATTCATATCTTCATAGTTCCATGGGTGAACTAACTTGGACTTTTCGTTGGTATTACAAGTTCACTACCAAAGCTGATCGGTGCTATTCAAACGTCCTCTTATTAAAATTAATTGATTCCACACTCTACTTTTTTATGATACAGAGACAACTCACGAGCTTAACGAGACATGACTCACTTTAGCTTCAATATTATTGATATGTGAAAGCCATATACATGCAATGGAAGCTGGCAAGACAAAGAATCATGTGAATACAATAAACATGTCAAATCACACACACACACACACGCGAGGGTGAGAAGATCATGAGAGGCAAAAGACAAGAAGCCGAATCCTTCTCTCTACTTGAAACTTGAAAGGGACTCTGTTGCACTGTTGATTGATACATGAACAGTGAATTCCATTTTCTGGGTTCTCACTGTATGATTGAAAGTGTAAGCTTTGGAGCTTTTCAATTGTTCATGAATATGAATAAATATCTAATCACACACCTCTGTGTGTGTAAATGGGTTCAGAAATTTGTGCGATGATGCTGACTTTTGTAACTAGTGTAGTGTATAGTCAAATGTTTTTCCAACGTTGGACTTGGAATGTCGAGATATGATTTTGATATTCGTGAACGTCCTTGCTCAATCAGATTTTGTTTCTCTTCATTTTTCCTCCTTATTTCCTCCACACTTTGCATCTCAACTTTGGATTAATTTTTGAACGGTTAGGGTCTAATGATCTATAAAATTAATTTTTTTAATTTTCTAACTAGAATCCTATACTTTAAATTGTAGTTTAAATCAAATTTGTTCAAATTTATTTATTTTTCATAAATTTATATTTTAATAATAATTTTATAAAATATTAAATTCTAACCATTTAAAAATTAAGATAGAAAGTGGAGAGAAAAGAAACGAACAGAAGTCAGGTTATATTCTCTCATCGTCAAACAGTGAATGTTGTCATGGAATGTAACATTGAAAAAGAAAAATGCTAACAAAAATATCTTGAGTTGCTCTTTAGTGCTAAGCCATATATGATCTTCTTGACTTTGTCAGGCACAAAATATGTTGATTTGTTTTAATTGCATTTATTAAATCGCCCTCGTTATTTAAAGGAAAAAAACCGCCAACTCTTTGTATATTTGATATCTTTTTTAAATTAAAACTGCAACTACATTTAGTGCCTCACCTGCCTCGAATATAATTAATTTCAATAAAAAACTATTTACGAGTAGTTAAAAAACCACAACTATACCTTGCTATGGATGAAAGAAAAAAAAATTACATAAAAGAGTAATTTTTAATAGGATTTTATAATACTTAATCTGATTCAACAGTACTCGATAATAGATAATTATATAATATAACTATATAGATGAAAATCTATAGATACCTTTCATTTAATATATATATATATATATATATATATATAAAATTAAAATACTTTATATTTAATTACAATATGCAATTTATTATTCATCCACTTGCATTGTGTGGCGGTATAGGTAATTTTACTTTTGAATAATAGCAAAACAATTGGATAGCAATTGAATGACTATGAGAATGCAATGTCACGTGATTGATTTTTTACTATTATAATTTGTAAAAAAAAATGTAAAAATTATACTTTATTTATTTTAAAAACAAGCCTAATGATGTAATGAAATATAGGGTTGGAGCCCGACCAGAACCCAATAAGTTGGAAGTGATGTTGTGAGCCTTTCTTCTATGGACGATTGAACTTTTACGCATGCGACGATAGTGACAATGTCTCATATTTACGTGCGCCAAGCCTTAAAATGCTTAAATATCATCCATAGACAATGCATCATATTGCCTGTGTTTAAAATATGGGAATCATAGACAATAATTGAGTTGAGTGAAATAGGGGAATAGATTCATTAACCCTAAATCTGAAGATTCGAATGAATCTTATGAATAAAAAAAAATATTGAAGAAAATTTCACCCTTAAATTATAAATCAAGAGTTATAAGATTTTAAATCCATTTTTGATGCAACGTCACCTTTAAGCTAACTTTAATAATTAGTTATTTAAAAAATTATAAAAATAAATCTAAAAATTAGACCCAAAGTTATAAACAAACAAAATTATAGAAAAAGATAGAGAAAATTTTCTTGATTATTTTTTTTAAACTTTATGTCAACTAGCAATTAAAATTTTTATTATTGATAGACACAATATTACACTATTTTTATAAATTAAAAAAAATACTATACAAAAAATGAGTTTAGTATTTTAAACATTCATGTATTTATAATTTATTGGTAAATTTATCATTTAAATGCGAAATAATCATGTTTAAAAAGCTATTCTCATTTAATCTAAGAAATGATTGAATATAGATCAGTTGATAGTGCTGAATGCCAAAAAGTTATTTAAAAGGAAACATATTGAAACAACATATGAAATAATGTTTTAAAAATTAGACTGGACAATAAACAAAAAAAATTAGTAGGTCATGGATCTTATGGTTCAACCATGATGATATAATAATTAAATAAAAAATAATATATATATATATATATATATAAACGGGTTAAAACGATTCAATCATTCTGAGTCTTGAGTTTTTGCTTCGAGCCAAAGTGGACCAATTCAAATTAATTATCATAATGGATCAAATGATTGAACCAAACCATTTCTTTTTTAGGTGGCGGTTCAATTGGTCAGACCATCAGGATTGATCTGAATCTTCAAATAGTAATACGAGATGTTTTGAAAATAAGGTAGTAAGGTGGCAGTGTTACCCTTACACCTTATAATCAAGACCTTGACTTGATTATAACATTGAGATGAATTAATTTTGCCTAAAAATGAATAATTAGATTATAAACTCCTGTTTTGTATAGAATTTAAGATGAACCGTAGTATTGATAAATAATTTTATTTAAAAAGATAGATCCGATGAAAGGCAAGAGCACGTGAACATAAATGAGCAATAATGGATAGAGAAGGTGGCGGTGGGGCAAGATGGAATAGAAACCTTACAAGCCTAAGCTAAGGTCATTTTCACCCAAGTACAAGTAGGGCTCTTCTGCCCCATACCTTCATGACAACAATTATTATTATTATTACTATTATTTTTTATATTAAAAAATATAAAAATATTTTGAGTTTAAATATTTAAAAATATAAAATAATTGTATTTTTATGTACAATTAATTATTTATATTTAAAAGTGAATTTAATAAATAAATCACTTATTCATTTATTTTTAATCAAGACATTAAATAAAGGTAAATATAAAAATATTATATAAATTTTAAGACAATTAATTAATTTACTAAAATTATAATTTGATTAAAAATAAATTATATTTAAGACATTATTATCATTGTCTTCCTCTGAATAAAGTAAATATAAATTTACAACATTTAAAGTAAATATAAAAAATATTATATAAATTTAAAGACAAAAAAACACAGAATGTTCACGTTGACCCCAATATATTCAAATTCTGTGTTTG